TTTTTACTCCTATTATTACCATTATCCTATCTGAAAGAATACTTTGACAGGGAAAGACTTGGCTCACCTTGGGAAGATGTTTTTGAAGATAGGAGAGCTTTTTTAATAACAGCCCAATCTAGCATGATGTCTTCATCCCGCAACATGTAGACAATGTAAGGACCAGATACAGGGGTGGGCTTTTTCCTTTTCCCTTTTTGTCTGTTAGTCATTTCTGGATCTGAGCTACCTTCCCTCCTTCCTGCTGTTCCCCCAGAGTTTTTATGCTTTCCCTGCACAGTTCTCAGCTCCCCAAAATCACTGAACTCTGCACTAAAACGATCCTCTTCCAACTTCCTGATTCGATCTTCCAAGTCTTGCTTCATGTGGTTGTACAAGTCAATCTTCTCAGACTGTGGGACAAGAAGGAAAAAAAAGTCACAATGTAGTTAAACCTAACAGATTTAAATTTATACAATTACAAGCCCTGCATGCTGCTGTTTTATTTAACTATATATAATAAGGGAGAGAAAGGCCATTTTAAATTTCAGAGTTATTGTAATTCATCACAGATTCCCATATGAAAATTCTGCCATCCTTCTGTCAATCCTTGAATAAATTATGATGAGGGCTGGTTCCAAATTTCCCAGAAGTTTTGAACCAGCCCTCAGCCAGTGGTTAGGCAAATTCTGAATTTCTGCACATTTCTGTAGTGTTGAGACTTGTAATGGTTGAAATGATACCTAGATTCAATTACACATATGCTAACGAGTTCAAATTGTTCACAGGAGATTAAATCCCACCAATATCAGGTTTTACAAGTTTTAATTTGTTATGTTGTCTCTGGAAAAAAAGTTTAAGTCTACATCTTAATCTCCAACGGAATTCAAAGAAATAATTAATTTTCACAGAGGGGTGCCTATTCCAGCATACAGGCCACAATAGGAAGAATTTTGAAAGTTTTAGACTAAAAGCAAAAATCCTCTGACATTTCATGCAATTCCACCCATAAGCAGAATAGGCACAGGAAATGGCTTTAGCTGTAAACAAACCCAACAGAGATAAACAAGAGAAACTTTTTTGTTCCAGAACATCATGAAATTAGGATCTATGCTTACATATTAGTGAGATATACTCAAAATGCAATCTGCAGCAGTGTATGTTGCTGCACTTTGAGACCATTCCATAACATCGTTCTGTGTATGCTCAACAGCTGAGCCTAAGAGCCTGAATTGAAAAAGTGACTTTAGGAAGGACAACATATACATAATCCATGCATTAGCTCTTAGAGTAGTACATTTTAAGACTTAAATCTCTGAAGGACTTTTAGATTATGTGCCCTCAAAACTTTTCAGGACATAAGAAAAGGATGGTGAGATTTCCTACCATGTAAAATTTTAAGCTCTTGGATCAATAAAACATCTAAAATGTAAAAATAATTCTCTTAGCCAGAGCACCAAGTTCCTGTTCAGTTTTCATGCAATTGGATAAGA